GAGTCCCTTTCGTGCTTCTTGAATCGAAATGAGATGGCTTCTCTGGAGACTTCTTCTGTAGGTCTTTTTGTCCAGGAAAGGTACCCACTTCAAGGTTTTGGCTGCCTTGGATCCAGGCTTTAGGATAGCAGAGGAGATACAACGTAAGAAACTCACTGTCATTTAGTGGTCCTTAAAATTTTGGTCTTTCTCAACTCACCTCCTTTCATTAACTTTTCAGAGTCCTCAAATAGCTTTTCCATGCATTCATTCCAAGACACATGACTATATTCAGAGAGAGAGAGATAGGGTCAAATTTATTATTCCATTTTACCTGGACTCAGTACTCTCCTGCTTTTTGTGCTAATGATTTCATATATTTTCCTTCCACATGTTTTAAACCTCACAAGATATGATAATCATGATTTTAACATTCAGTATTATTTTATGTTTTCCCACAAATTTACCCTCCCCAGTGTTCATTACTTTCTGCAATTTCATAATATCATCTCATATAATTTTTCTTTAGCCTAAAGAACTGGCTTAATACTTATTTTCTTAGCTTTTGTTTGAAAGTATCTTTATTTTGTCTTCATTTTTTAAAGAGCTTTACAATGATTATGAAATTCCATTTTAGCAGTCTCCCTCCCCACCCTTTAAACAAGTTATTCTACTGTCTTCTGATTTCAATAGTTTCTGTCTAAAAGTCAACCATGTCTTACGATTTCTCCCATGAAACTATAGTGTCTGTTTTTTGTGTAGCTTTAGTATTTTCTCCTTGTCTTTGTTTTTTATGGCTTCTATTTCTTTACTGATTCTGCATTTATTTGTTCACTGTGACCATATATTCCTTTTCTTGAACATTCAGTATATAAGAGCTATTTTAAAATTTCCTTCCTACCTGTTCCTACATCTGGGCCATCTAAGAGTCAGTTCTTTTTGACTGCATTCTCTCAAGTATGGTCACATTTTTCAGGTTTTTCACTTGCCTATTAATTTTCTATTGTATTCTTAAGATTATAAATGATGCACTTTTGTCTTCCTGTAATGAATGTTGGTTTTATTCTTATAAATTCCCCTTGGTTTGTCTGTTTTCATTCTTTGTTAAAGCTTGTGATATGGGGAAACAAAATTTTGAATTTTTTTTTGTTCTAAGACATGCTTTTTACATTAAAGTATGACCCTTACTTTAAGGGGATGTCCTTTCTAGCATCTCAGCTGGATGTCTGAAGTACTTAACGAAGTCTCTACATCCTGCTAAGTTGGAACTCTAACGTCTCTCAATATCACATGACATGCCGCAGGCTACTTCTGCTAGATCTTGCAGAGTCTCATCATATCTACATTTAGTTCAGCTCTTGGCCAAGGACCATGGTGAATCTCCATGTAGACTTGTGGGACCCCCCCCCCTTTTCACAGATACCTACTTTCATATATGCTACCTTGCCAATTTCAGCTGCTTCAACAGTGCAAAACTCTATTCTCTTCCTCCTTAACTGAGTCTATTGCCCTGCTTGTGTTCCACTTCCTTGCACCCCAGAAAAAGTGCCCTTCAGTAGAAAACACTTCATATATTTCCCTTCTCACAAGGATCACAGCTGTGTGCTGCCTATTGTTCAATCCCTGAAAAACATTTGCCCCATCTAGTTTTGTCCAGTCTTAGAGAGTTTGTTTGTTTGTTTGTTTGTTTGTTTGTTTTTAGCAGGAGAATAAATTAGGTACTTATTACTCTCTCATGGCTGGAAGCAAGTTTTTGGTGCACATTAATTTAAATGCACATTGAGATTTAAATTACTGATATTAAAATTTTTCCTTAAATCAATTTCTGACAAAAAAATAGGTAAATAAATGTGTTAATAAAAATTTTAGGAGTGACTAAAGGGAAAAGGGAGTAATCTTTTAAGGGCATTGCAGGCAAACTTCAAATTTTAAACTTAACCTATGATAGTCTTAGTTGAATAGATTTAGTAAATAAAAGAGTTCTAGTGACATATATTCTATGTTATTCGATATGTAACCTATATTGTTATGTATATAATACTCATAGATTTAGAAAGTAAAGAAGACACATATATTTTTATTTCCCATTCTTGGCCTGTGGTGTTAGTACACAATGTTCTCTCTTAAGGTCATTGAATCTAAGTTGGAGATACTCGACCTTTAAATCATTGGTTAGTAGCTAAATTAGGAGACACTGCCTTAGGAAGAAGCCAGTTCAGACTGAAAGGCAAATGACTATTTGGTTTTAGAAGTAACTCTCCATTTTTAAAGGGTGGAGATAGTTTGGTAGTAAATTAGTTCTCTCTCTCTGCCCTGGGAGATTAGACAAACAATGGATCTAACTAAGAAAATAGACTGACTCATTTGGCTATAACGCTTTACTGAAGTTACAAGCAAACTATCATTAATCTCCAGAAAGAGAATTGGATTCTGCATACTGTAAATGAGTTTTACAGCCAATTCTGAGATTTTTCATTGAAGAAACCAAAATTCAGACATTAAATTCCTAGATCTAAAGGCACTCTGAACCCTGTCTTTCCTTACCTCATCATGAGCTATAGCAAGGCTGAAGTCATATGGAATTTACTTCATTATTTATTAACTCTTCTTTAGAATGGTACTTTTTATTGCAAGAGAAGTGAGGTTTGCGACAACCTTCTTTCCTACTAATTTTCTTGAGCATTTCTGAAATTCTGCTGGTAGTGAACACTCTGTCTTCAAAGTGAAAATGTCCATCAGGAGAAGAGGTACAGATGAGAGGAAAGTCAGACCTGTCGGGAAGGAAGAGACGTTTCACAGGGCTGTTAATGGCCATACATGGTCAGGGGTGGAGAATGAGAGGGCAACGGAATCACAGATGTGAAAGAGACAAGTCATCTGGTTTAGGCAGCCTCTAGACAGGTAGGGAAGGGGTGTTTGGGTGGGCCTTTTTAGCTTCTTTTGAACTTTTTCAGCTTTTTGCCTCTCACCAAGCCTGACTTCTTCTCTGCAAGTGGTGCGGTACTTTTCCTCCTGTCCCAGGATGAAGTCTTTGGGTAGATTTCATCTGGGGGATGGTCCCTTTTATCCCCAGGAGATCTATTTCAGGTTTAAGTCTCTCCCTTGGCCACACCAACATCAGGGCAGACCTCCTGGCCGCTCCATAATTCCCTGGGCAGAGAGAAAGGACCTCTAAGCTGATGGTCACACTTCATGTATTTCTAATTCCCTGTGGCTGTGAGAACATGAAGTGATGAGGTGGGTGGAACTTTGAGTTGAGGAGTTTTTTAGGTAGTTTCAGGTCTCTTTGTCTATGAGAGAAACATACAACTGCCTACCTTTCCAACATACACATCCACACCCCTACATTATTCACTGGTAGAAGTGGAATTTTGGCAACTTATGGTTCCTCTGGGGCCACCCATCTCTTGTACATATCCCAAGTGTCTGGATTTACTGTAGGAGACTGTGGACAAAGGAGGGCGAAATTAAATGTTAGCTTCACCCAGAAGAGGTTTGTGAGCATAAACATAGAAGTAAATGAGATATTTGTTGCTATTTGATGCCTATCACTTCACACCCCTTGCCCTCCCCCCGCCCCCCACCAGTGTGTGCACACACAGTGAGCAGAAACGCAGTGGCCCCTCCCTCGCGACCGGCACAGACCGACCAGAACTTCCCCTGGGTCGTGGCCCAGCGATACGGAGCGGCCCTGGCGCGGAGCCCTGCTCTTCCCGAGTCGTGGGTGGCGCGGTACTTGTTTCCCTCCCCTCCCTTTCCGGACCCAAACGGGGATGTATCTGGGTCAGCCTGGGAGGGGCTGGACCTGCCAGGGACCGGCGGGGGGAAAGGGGGTGGCGATGACAGCATCTTTCAGGTTTTTGGCGTTTCTGAGCTTCGCCCCGTCTAGCCTCTCACCGCTCTCGCGCCCAGCAGGGCTGCAGCTCTCGCCGGAGGACTGGGTGGAGGGAGAGCGGGTTCTTCCTATCTGGACCGCCACCTCTCCACGCTCTGCAAATAATGCGGCGCTCGTCTTCATCCCCGCCCCCAGTACGCACACACATTTCGGGTTCCCCAAGGCGTGTTTCCCAGGCGGGCGGCGGGCTCCTCCGCCCTAGGAAAAGAGCAGTGGAACAGTTCACGGCCGCCGCGAGTTCCTGGTCTTCCTTCCTTTCCGGTGATAAACGGCGGGGCTACAAGCCAATTGCTGCTCAAGATGCTCCACCCGCGGGCCCGAGCCTCTCTCTCTCTCTCCGCTCTGCAGGGGCCCAGATCCAGGACGGAGAAGGTCCCTTTGCCTCCACAAAGCTCAAATGCTGAGAGCCAGGGCGGCGGGAGGCGCGACCCACGGCAGGCTCTTCGCCGCCTGGGTGCCTCCCTCCGTGATCTTTTGCGCTCCACAGCGCTGGGGAGGAGCTGAGTGTGCGTCAAAACCGCATCTTCCCCGGACGCTTTGGCCGAGGACGCCTGGGTGAGGTCCATAGGGTCATGGACCTTCTCGACTCCCCTCCCTGCGAGCTCTGCATATTATCCCAGCACCGAGGAATCAAGGCCACAGGTCTTCATTTCCCTGAGGCCCGGCCCCTCCCTCCCCAGCCTTGCCCTGCCTAGACTCGGCAGCTCCAAATTTACAAGTGCTCGCTCTTCCTCTCGGCGTTAGAGAGAGAAGCGGAGCAATTAGTTGAAAATCTTCTCTGGTTTCCTGATCCTGTACACAGTTATCTCCTTATCCTCTCTCTCTCGATCCCTCACACATTGCACGATCCGGGACTTCGGACTGCAGGAGCGTAGCCTCGCTTATCCTGAACGCGCGTCCCTGTGGCCGGAGTCCACAGATGCTCTTTGGCTGGGAGCTTCCCGAAAGGTGTCTCCATCCTCAGGAGCTCGAGGTCACGCAGAGGTGTTCCTCCTCGCCCGCCTCACCTCGCCCGTACACACCTCTTGCCATTATTTTATCCACCCTTGTATAAACCCCGCGCCCCTCCCCGCCGGCGCCGGGCGCAGCGCCCCCTCCCTCGGCTGCGCTGGAGCGGGCGGGGAGCAGAACGGACAGGGGCGCGCGGGAGGTGCGCAGAGCTCTCCCGCTGCCTGCGCTCGCCGCGCCTAGGGAATTGGGCTTTGGGCGAGGCGGCCCAGGCTGGCCTTTATCGCTCGTCCCGCTGGTCGTTTGAAACTTTATCAGCGAGTCTCGCCACTCGCCGCAGACCAAGAGGGGGGCGGGGGCGGGGGCGAGGCGCGGCGCCGGCGACCGTGACGAGGCGCTCCAAGCGCTGAGCGCTTCTGCTCTGGGCACGGATGGCGCCCGCACACGGAGTCTGACCTAATGCGGACGCAAGGGGGTTAATATGAACACCCCTCTCGGTGGAATCTGGCTCTGGCTCCCTCTGCTCTTGACCTGGCTCAGCCCGGAGGTCAGCTCTTCATGGTGGTAAGTCCACGCGCATGGGCGCGGGGGGATTTTCGAGATGGAATGGGGACCGCACTGGCTACAGAGACCCTCCCCGGCGGTGGTTCTCCGTGGCTGCGGCAGGCGCGGATTCCAGCTCCAGCACTGGCTGCTGCCCTCTCCTACCGCCCCATCCTGAGCCCCTTTGCTTTTCCTCTGAAGCCCGTTCCAGCTTTGATAACTCCAAAGGGGGAATAAAAACAACCCACATTCCCCCTCAAATGAGAGATGTGATGTTTGGTTTATTTGGATCCAGCTGAGCGACAGCAAAATCAGCCAATTTCTTATCCCGTTGAGAGACGCGCTAGCTGGGTCTCTAGCTCAGACGTACGTGTGTGTGTGTGTGTGTGTGTGTGTGAAAACTGTAATAGTACCCCCGCCACCACCAATCCCACCCGCCCACACGCACAAAACCTCAGGATAAACCGAGGGGCCAATACAGTCAGTCAGGAGCTGTAGAACCCAAAGTGTGTGATTTTGCATTATTTCCCGTCCTTCCACATTCCTAATGCTTTGCCCCAGTGGGGCGGAAGAACGTTGTGCTGCCTCCAAGTAGAGACTACCTCTTTAATGCGCAGCTCAGGAGCTGGGGGCTTTAAGATGTTACCTTGTTCAAAACCATAGTCAATCCCCCTCCTCCCCCGCCAAAAGAGTAACTTTTGCTGCTGTTCTCTGTACGTTGATCAGCGACTTATTTATTTTGCACAGTGAACGTTACAAGTCTTAGCATCGTTACACGTGCCAAAGAGAGATTTTCTCCCTACCCAGAAACTCTTCTGCATCTCCCAGCCTAATGATCTTGAAAAGATGGAGTTAGGAGCTCCTTAACTTCCTTGCACCTAAAAGTTTCCCAACAGATATTAAAATACTAATTCGGAAATATCTGTTACAGTGGGGTGTTTTTTCAAGAATCTCGCAAAAGTAAGGAGTCTTAGTCAAATGAAAAACCAGAGCAGAGAACTTCAGGAAGACACTGGAGCTCTTCAAAGGAGCAAAGCAGAGACGTTGATGGCAAGAAGAGTTCAATTCCTTCTTAAGCCACTTCGAACAGGAAGGCGTTTAGCCTTGACATTGCTGACACAGGATCAAAGATTGATTTATCAGAATGACCATTTTTCAATAAAATGACTACTTCTGTTTCCGTGGGTGTATAAACATTATTTATTGCCCAGGCTTTTTGTCACATTGTCTCTCACCTGTCACTTAAATATATTTTTTGGAAGTCACAGCTGTAACAATTTTATGATCATATAAAATAATGAAAATACAAGAAAAAGACATTCTCCTTGTTTGATCGCTTCAAAAGACACCTATGGCAGCTTGGGTTATATAAAAGGTACCTTTCTAAACATTTCACAACTAATAGAGAACATCTGGGCAGAGATGATGATGTAATTTTTTGTTAAAGTTTCTTTTCAAAAGTACTTTATGGAGCTATAACACTATTTGATTCTTCCAAACATTTAGTGTCCTTAATAACAATAGAAAGAATTTTTTCCAAAGGTTCTCTATAAAAGCCAAGAAGAGCTGGAAAATGGAAATATTTAAAGGATTCTTTAGTAAGGAAGGAATGGCATGTCTGTGAAGAGAGTGTAACATCAGATACCAGCAGGTGTCGGTTAGACAGATACAGACAGTTTCTCAACACACTTAAACCTAATGTTTAAATAAATGAGAAAGAGAAACTTCTAAAGGTCGGCTCCCCCGAAGCCAAGTCCAGACACATTGTGTCCTTAAGATGAGAGCCTTCTTGGGGGGTGGTTTCAGCCACATCACTCTCCCTGCCTGCCGTGTTGCTTCTTCACTGAACTAAAATTAAATAACCTTTGCTTTCTAATATTTCCCAAAGCATAAGGAATTCATATTTGAAACATGCTTTGAACGCGTTAGTCTCCCAGGAAACACTGCTCAGAGCCTCATAGTTCAATGTTCTCACCTCTGTCTTGGTCCTTGCCAGGTACATGAAAGCAACAGGCGGCTCCTCCAGGGTGATGTGCGACAATGTGCCAGGACTGGTGAGCCGCCAGCGGCAGCTGTGCCACCGACACCCAGATGTGATGCGTGCCATTGGCCTGGGCGTGGCCGAGTGGACAGCCGAGTGCCAGCACCAGTTCCGCCAGCACCGCTGGAACTGCAACACCCTGGACAGGGACCACAGCCTCTTTGGCAGAGTCCTGCTCCGAAGTAAGTCTCCTGCCCTTGGGCAGCTCCATGGGCTTTCCTCTCACACCACATCCTCATAGTTGGTCTTCAAAGTTCCTGCTAATTTTTTCTTGCATTTTATTCAGCCAGAAGCTTCTTCTGTTGGGGGGTAGAGGGAGCATTGTCCCTATTTACAGATAAGGACTTGAGAAATCAAGGAACTTGCCTAAAGTTTTATTGGAGGCCAGTCATATATTAGTATGTATACCCCAGGCTGGTGTCTTTTTATTCTTTGCTCTGTCCATCTATGTCATGTCACAGCCATGTGTGTCCCTCTGGGTTCAGATTTTGTCAATTACACATAAACATTATTGAGAAGCAGAGACGATTCTCTGCTCATCACCTTTGACCTTCCATTCAGCCACTCAACTTTGAGTCACACTGTATCTAAATATTTTTTTCAGCAAACTGTGAATTCTATAAAACAGGGCTAGTCTGGCTTCCCTGCACCTCACTTAGTGTTTTGTGTGTTGCAGGCACCATTCATTCAATGAATGGTCAAATGAATGAATGAATGAACTTGCAGTGAAGGCCTTTTATTTTCCAGGTGCATTTCAGGCAGGTGGGGGTGCGAACCATGAATACATAGTTTTGTTGTTGTTTTCTTAGAAGGAGCATTAAACATTATCTAATTACATGATAAACGCTGTAAAAGTTCTTAATGTGCATTGAGAGTAGCTCACTAGCTGGTGTACAATCAGAGAAAATTAACTGAAAAATAGATTTCATTTAAAAAAAAAATCTATGTCTTAACCTGGCATTATTCTCCAAGAAATAACATGGCCTATTTGCTACTGGGAAATCTGACTGAAAACACAACAGCTTATGTGTGAACCCCAGAAACAGATAACTTTACACTTGTTTTTGCCCACCCCTCATTCCTAAGAAAATCATCCAGGCTGTACACTTGGTAATGCTTAACAGAGGGTGTTTCTATCATGTAATCATCACAGCCCTAGGGTTTTATGAGGCCAAATGCATAACTGAATGTCTCTGAAATCCCCCAAGGGCGTAGTGCACTCACTCGAAGTGTATCCCTTAAGTGAATTTACTGCCATGTTCTGCAATTTTATTCTCTAGTTTAAGAACTATATTCTTCTGCATTCCTTTTGGAGTTTCGATATGACATCGCAAATTTTTGAAAGGTTAATAGTAAATTTCAGCAGCATGGAATTTTCAGACTTCACCTAGATTAGCTCACCAATGAGTCAATTAAAGTGCCGGACCTTGTCAGAGAGTTTGCAAATATCTGGCACAAGACATCGTTGGGTACAGATTCTGTAGTTAAGACGCATCAAGGTTTTTCCTTTTCAAAGTGCTCACAACCATTTTTCAATGTCTATAAATTAAATGTGCTTCTCATTTATGAAATGATCACCTCTCAATTCTGTTTATGAAAATTAAGATGTCTCTATATTGAAAAAAACCCCTTTAGATTATGAATTAAAGGAAGTTATTTTGACCACCGATCCTAAAGATCTGCTAAAGCTGGGGATCCATTCGTAAAATACTTTAACTTAATCTTGGCAATGTATGTTTCTTCAAAGCTACAGAGTTGCTGAGAAGGAAGAGGTTGGAATTAGTTTGACTTAGTCTAAGGCCACAGGTAAATAAGAGATTGTAACTTGTACTTTCCTCAGAGTTCTTTCAGATAAAGCTGAATGCTTTGCTAAAGACTCAAAACTTAAAACACACGTGCTACACAATTTCTTTTCATTCGTCACAGCCAGATTTCTTCCTGGACATTTATGTAAACTCCTGTGATTGTCAGTGACAATTCTTTGTTGGTTCTGGGAGGGCCAAATTTGGCCTATGGTAGCTTATCCTGGAAATAATCATGAAATTCCAGAGAAGCTAACCAGAGACTTTTACAACTGATTGCTTGGAGGGAAATTCACATCTTAGAGTTGTGAAGAACGCTCCTTTGGAAAACTAGATGTCTTTATAGGTGACTAGGAAGGTAAAGGGGGAACATAAAAATCACAAAATACCCCACGGTCACCTAGACAGAATTTAGAGGTGATCATTTTATAAATGAGAAGCATATTTAATTTGTAATCATTGAAAAATGGTTGTGAGCACTTTGAAAAGGAAAAACCTTGATGCATCTTAACTACAGAGCATATACATAATATACCCAATGATGTCTTGTGCCAGATATTTGCGAACTCTCTGACAAGGTCTGGCACTTTAATTGACTCACTGGTGAGCTAATCTAGGTGAAGTCACAGAGAAATGGAGAACATTTGCCTCTTTTGCTCCAAGGAAGACAGAACGAGTTTTCAGAACATTTGTAATTCACTCGTTCAATAGACTGCCATCAGTCACAGGCAGAAAAACTTAAAAACTACAAATATTTACAAGAAATACTCTAGAATTCTAGAATAAGCCTTAAACAAAAAGTGATTAGGTCTTATCCTTATAACTGTTAAAAAAAAAAAAAAAGAAAAAAAAAAAAAGAAAGAAAGAAAGAAAAAAAGAAAGAAAAAAAGAAAAAAAAAACAAACCATTTTAAAAGAGTTGAACAGCCCATAAACTTCCAGAAAGCCTATCTTCTAGTGTTCCGCCCTCCCAGATCAAAAATTATGCCTACACACTTAGTAGACATTGCTCGACTTATCTCAATCCAAAAATTAGAGAAAGTTCAACAGTAACACATCAAGAAGTCTAAATATCACTATTTAGATTTAGATTTTGTTTTATATTGTGATGGCTTTAAAAAGAATTCATTTTTCTAAGAAGAGCACCAAGATCGAAATTTGTTTTGCTACAAAGCCAACTCGTGAAATGTGCTACTATTTCACACATAGCATTTTGGTGATTCATCTAAGACATTTAACTGAAAACATCTTAAGGCAGCATCTACATGATACCAAAACAGCTGGATGTCAAATGAAAAGTCAATCCCTGTGCTAATTTTTTTATTTAAATAAATATCTAGCTATTTAGTAATATGTTTGAGTAATAAGTGACAAATATTTAGAAAGGTGATATTTTTGCTTTGGATATTATTTCTAAAATGTAGCAGATTTTAAGTGATTTTTTTTTTCTTTAAGCCAACAACTCAATGTAATTGTTCGCAAGTTAAGCCAGAATGAGTGCTTTGCCTAGACAATTTATTCCTCTACTACTTTCAAACTATTGACACTGACATTCTATCATTCACATTTGCCATATCTTCCCCCTAAAAGACCACCTCATAAGATTTCTTTCTCCTTAAAAAATAAGACTAGTGCAAAGTACATTAAGCATTTGTGAATTTTCTCACTATGTGATATCTCTAAATGTGGACGCTGAACTCTGAATCCAAAACCAGCCTTTAGCAGCCTCAGGGAGTAACTACGGACAAAGAATTTTCCTAAACTGCAAATGGATACAATATCTTATATATCTGAGAGCCACCACCTGAGATTAAGCCACATTAGCATCTATTAGTCACCATCTTTTAGAAAACATCTCAATTGCACTTAGAAAATCTGTGATCCTTATAATTTGCGACTCTGAAACAGCCCCCATGCCCATCACATTTCTCTCTAGAGAGTGCTACCTGCTACTATGGCAAATATTCATATAATTGATTTTACCTAACTACAAGGCATGACTGATTCCTTTTTATGATGGTTAGAGGTTTCGGGGAGATATTTTTTGAAGGCTGAGGTAAGTGCCACTTTATATGGTGTAGATATGTTTTCCCGATTTTTAATAATGAGACTAGCAGAGCAAATATTGCAAGGGGCATATAATAAATTTTAGCACTGAATGACAAATAGAACCAAGCAGGGCTTCGATACGAAAAAGTGGTTTGTTCTCTCAGCTGTGTGGTTCAAAAAGTCACACTCGTCTTGACATATTGAATCACCAAATGGGTCTCCGTTTTCTGCCTTGCATTGGCATGAGATTGTTCAGCTTATATTTTGATTGTTAATAAATTTGCTGCAGCAATCATTAATAAAAAGGCATGCTAATAACAATGAAATACAGCTCCACTTGAAAAATGAGGTGCACATGTACCCTAAAGAGCCTTATATCTGTCACTGCACCACAACACCGTGTTATGAGTTACTACAGATTATTAAAATAATTTAATGTAGTTATTGCACTGAAATATGTACCTTTCAGCCTGTAAGTGAAAGTAGCCTGTGCGCTAATAAAGAACAATTCTAAGAAAGCACCCCAAAGGGCTCTTGCCCAAGTCTAATTATAGGCGGTAAATTTGTTTCCTTCCAGAAAAACCAAAGAAAAGCTTTTCACTGTCTTTTACCAATACCAGTGATTAGTGCAGGTGTTCCAGAAGAAAGTAAATTCACCTTAATAGTCAGACACAGTATGTAACTCTAGGATATTGCATATTGCCTTCAACAATCTCTCAATTACTTGTGAAAGTTGATGCCAAGCCAAAGCTCTCCGGCGTTAGAGCGGGGGGGCTGGTTACTGCCTCGAATTCTCTTCCCACCTCAGCTCCCAGATTTCTTTGAGTTCAGTATTTCAGTCTCCACTATCCAAATACGCATGAGTGTCCTCAGTAATGCCTGGAGGCTTGGGAGGTTTTCTTCGAGCTGTAGCAGCATTAATGCCAAAATATATTATGAAATAATAGAACTGGAGAATTCAGACTGTCAGTTACAGATGAGGAAAGAAAGGCACAGAAATGTTACGCTTCTCTCTTCTAGGACATTTAGGATTCTAGAATAAAGCAAGCATGTGTCTGAGACCAATGTGAAGCCAGGAGCTGGGCAAGGCAGGCTTTTGCCGCATTTTTAGAAATATTCTATTTACTCTAAGGATAGCTGTCATACAGGTTATCTATTGATCATGGCTTATATTAGATGGTGATGATTCATATTAAAGAATTCCTCTAGAGAGGAATCCTTCAAGAATACCACTACCTTTTTGTCTAGTGTTGAAGCATGTCAGAGGCAGAGCAAGTATTAACCAGACATCAGGCAAAAGTCATTCCCAACTAGAAACTCCAGACCGCTTTTAAGAAAAGCATTTTTGTTTCAGGTAGTCGAGAATCTGCCTTTGTTTACGCCATCTCCTCAGCTGGAGTTGTATTTGCCATCACCAGGGCCTGTAGCCAAGGAGAATTAAAATCCTGTTCCTGTGATCCAAAGAAGAAGGGAACCGCCAAGGACAGCAAGGGCACTTTCGACTGGGGTGGCTGCAGTGATAACATTGACTATGGGATCAAATTTGCTCGAGCGTTTGTGGACGCCAAGGAAAGGAAAGGAAAGGACGCCAGAGCCCTGATGAATCTGCACAACAACAGAGCTGGCAGGAAGGTATGGACTGCGATGGTGCTTATTTCATAGACTGCATGGCCTTATAGTCACCTGAGTTGAGTTTATGTTATACTTTTCCTAGCGCTGATAAAATGCTATATAGTCACAACTTCCCACTGTCCCCCAGCCCGGAGCTCTTTGTTCTGAAGAATACCACCAACTGGGTTGAAATATCCCCACCCACACTCCACCTTCCTTCCCACAGCTGAGCTGAAGGAATCCACCCATTGCTTTTGGCATAGTGTAGAGTCAAGTGTTTTATGGTTCCCCTGGATACAGTATCATCTAGATAGAAGATATAATCTGTGGGTGAGGCTAGTGCTTCATCCCACATACCAATGGGACATTGAATGCTTGTATCTAAGGGATAGCAAGACCCAGAGCACCTTCTCTCAAACTTATCACAAAAGCAGCTCATCAGGCACAGCTTACTGGCTTCTTCTAGATTCAGAGGTGCTCTTTTTAGAACCAGACTACCTTGGAGTTTCTGGCACTGAATGAGTAAGTACCAGGGA